TTTAGATTGTTTGAGAGGTCCTACTCTTATTTTTATTGGAATGTAGCAGATTTTGTACAAAAAAAATCAGATTCAAAGACCTGGACTGCAGATAAGGCAATGCTGCAGGAACTAAAGAGTGAGAAGATGATTCTACAGAGCGCGGTGACAGAGTTGTGTGTCAAATATCCACAATGTTAAAAGGAATCCAAATAGAAAAAAAGTACACCTTGAAATCCATACTAGTAACAACTTAGATCCATCTTATCTGTCTCAGTGCATTTTATGAACTTCTCTGCATTTTCAGATAGCATTTTAAACAAAATAATGTCTCAGAATTTAAAGCATGCAAAAGAACAGTAAGACTATAGTCCATCACATATGTATTAGAGAAAACAAAGCAAAATGTACCAGATTGCATATGAAAGGCAAATATAGAGCAAAATAAAATGATCACCACTGTAGGAAGAACTCATTTGTGCTAAATGGCTTATTTATTTTGTTTTAAGACAAATTCTCACAGATTTAAAAGTTATGTAACTGTTTTCAGTAACCATCACAGAATGAAATACTCTATTATCCTAAACTATTTTAGAAAAAGAAAAATTTGTTTATACCTTAGTAGGTATCACAAAAATACACTAATTGTAGATAGACATAACAGAACTATCATTTAAAAAACAGAAGAGAACAGGACTGAAAAGACAGTTGAGACCAGATGGCTGGAGAAGAGCACAGATTAGTTTTTCAGGCTGTGCTGACCTGCCTCCTGAAAGTAGTCCCATCAATCCCCAAAAGCTTTCTTACTGTGGAGTTAATAGCCTTAATACAGGCACAAAACTTCAAGGAGACTTTTTTTTTGTAGCACATGCTCACTGAGCTCAGAACTAAACTCCTACAGAAAAAATTCTACAATAATTTAGAACAAAGGATTCTTATGAATGTCCAAAGCACAAATTCAGAGAACTCATTTTTCACCTTGTTTCATCTGATTCACAGAAAGGCAGCTGGCCATGATGGACAGCTTATGGTGTTACTCTGCTTTGCAATGTGGAAGATGAAGCAGGTTTAGCTGAATTGCAGGAGCAGTGCCAGCTACAGGAGACAGCATAATCAACCCTTGGCAAAACCTGCCTCATCATTCAGCTGACCGTCTGCCAGCCAGAACCCCATCGCTTGAAGGATGGTAACACTAATAAGAGAATTTCTCGAGGGGAAATTAAAATCCAGAAAAGAAAATAAGATGGTGATTTTTCTGGGGTTCATCACGATTATAAATTACTTTTCTCTTGATCCTCCAGGAAATGCAAAAATTTAAATAAACTTGGGATTTGTTTCATTTGGATGCTTTAAAGGATTCCTTTGAGCCTGTAAGGCCTATGGTCCCTGAACAGACTTCTGCAGCTGCTGCACCTAATTTCATTTTGGCAAGGAAAGAGGCTAAGACATGTCTGTGTGGTGCAGTCTTGCTCTTCTTCCTCAAGCAGGAGCTAGCATCATGATTCAATAAAATTTAAAAGTGCCTTTCATCACCCACATTTGTACAGATCGATTGCAACTTCAAACAGAACGAATACAAGTGAAGAAAGCAGAGTGTTGTTTACAGGGTGACATCTGACTGGCAGGCAGAAATATAATTATAGATGATCAAAAAATGGAAAATAGAAATGCAAACTATTGATTTTATGAACTAATTTAGAGCTCTGTTCCAGATGTATGATAATCCAAGCGGAGATTTATAGCATTGACACATCACTTAGGAGAGTGAAGGTTAAAGGGACTTATTTTCCCCCATTCTTGTTTTTCTGGTGATTGAAATGCATTTGAAAAGAACTGCTGTCTGAAATAGATATAGGATTGCAGGCTCTAATGTAAATTGGTAAACATATTGTCATAATAAAAATCAAAGCAAAGCAATCACCAGCAATTCAAAATCCCCAGCATTATCTTGGATATAGGGATCAAAGTATGAACTCTGTCAAGCTGTTTTAGCCTAGTGCAGCGTAAAAAGCAATTTAATATGGATCACAGAGAAGTCAGAAACCAAGACATTGCTTATCCAGAGATCAGCAATCACTGTCAAAGCAGACAAAGCTGCTGTTTCATAGTTCTTGGTCTTTTCTGCATTGGACTGTCAACCAGCGCCTCCCTCACAAGTTATCTGGGACTTTAGTCTGGTTAGTAGGAATGGTGGCCCAATCTCCCCTCTGCCCCCATCAATTCATGACACCTAAGCTGAGTAAACACAGAAAGGGCTCTCCAGTCAGTTCAGTAAAAGACAGATAAATTGAATGAGGGAAGGTATATACATGTATAAAAATCTATTAAATATATCTAAACTTTGACAGATTAATGGCTTGCTCAGTTCCCACTCCCCAAGAACAAAAGAAAGATGAGCAGAGCACCCTGTACTCTTTCACAGACTTTCAGACATTCACTGCCGTTAGAGATCAATCATAGAAATTGTGCTAAAATGAAGGCTTTTTAAAAGAAAGCATAGGGGGACCTTCCTCCAAGTCTTAATTTTTAAGCTGGTAGGACTGATAAGTGAATAGATTTTCAAAGTTTAATCGACAAGGACAATTCACATCTTTCTCCCATCTGTTTACCTAGTAGCATCTGTAGATATTACCAGTTTTCAACTCATTTAATATCCGTAGCATAGTGCTAAAAAACAGTCAGGAGTCCTTGATCTGGCTATCAGTGCAAAGGCAATTTCAGAATGCCAAAAAGCAGAGCCCCCACTTAGTATTGGACTGTAGAGAGGTGGCCTAGGGAGGCCAGAAAGAGAAAACAGCTCATGAAGTGACTTCATATGACTCCAAATGCTAAGGAAAAACTTCATCCATCCAGTTTGTATGCACAACAGTAACTTCAGAAAACCATTGTTAAAAATCTTCCTCAGCTTTTACCACTTCAAAAAATAAGAGCACATGAATCCCTCCTAGTCTCTAAATGCAGAGATTTTCTTCTGAACTTTTGGAAATTCTGGGCACAAACTCCTGAGCACCTCTAAAAATTCTCAAGTAATCCATTCCTTTTTCCTGGAGGGCCTATCTTAAAATACCTCTGATAATGCCAAGAATTGATGTTTCTTTCTCTGAACAGATGGCAGCCAAAAAGGCAGTATTAATGCACAAATGAAGTAACAGTATCTAGTACCAAAGCTCAAATGGACTCACTGTAAAGCAGAACTAGATATGCTTTAGAGAGGTGTTTTGCATCTTTACTTTATATGAAGAGGTGATATTAAGTCCTTTAACATCCAGATGGAAACCCACACATAGCACTTTTAAATCCCATTCCCATGGGAATGACTATTCCTAATACAGTCTTTAAATCCAATATGTTGGGTTTCTAATATTTTGTGGTTTTAAAATATACTAAATAAACATTTAATAGTTTATACCTTTGATTTACCCCTAGTTTTGAGTAGAAATTTGATGGCTAATTTATTTTCATCTAAGAACAGTTCATGTTCAGATATAAGCAAACCACATCTTCTTCAGTCACCAAATTATTCTGAATAATTTGTGACCCACACACTACAGAGTAATAGGTTATTTGGGCTATTAAAGTTGTTCTGACTTTATTGTTAAACTGCAAGAATTTTTGGCACAAATATACTAACGAATTCATGAAATGGTGATGAAACCCAGCTTTATAAAAAATGGCACAATTAAGCCCAGTCTTTTCTGATCACATAAGACATGAAACTGAAACCAAGACAATGAGAAAAACTTTATAGCTTCATGGCCTTCTGAAACAACAGCATCATGACAGCCCATGCTAAATAGTATTTCCATCTTCATCTGATATAGTGACTAGTGGTACATAACACAGCTTTTTTCTGCTATTACCTAAAGTCAAGTGCAGTATATAGCATGATATATACACTGGTATCATTGACAGAGAGTAATACAAATAGTCTGTTGCAATCTCTGTCAAATGGCAAGCATTATCCTTGCACAATTTAATGGTGTTGGCTATATATGGAGCTTTTCCTTTTCTTCATGCCTGATAATCTCCATTGCAGCTTATGTTGCAATTGCCTTTTTCTTTCCTTCCCTCGTCAGAGCTCCGTTAAAGAAAGGATATTACTTAAAATGAAGAGGAAGTAATGCTCATTCTAACACCAGGTCACCAAGTCTGCTAAAGTAAGGACTTGCACAGATCAGAAACTAAGCACCATTTTTTACATACTGCTACTTCTGATCTACAGTTTGGAATTCTTATAAAACGTGCAGATATTTAGCATCAGATTATTTGTTATGTTAGGTCTTTTGTTTGTTGGGGTTTTTTTCCCGTTCTCCAGTTGTAGTCTTTGCTTTTTTAGGGGAATGGACCAAAAAAATTGTAATCTGCCCAGCTGGAGCATAAACAATATTAGAGAGGTCTGTAATGATGTTTTCGTCATATAAATAATGATGCTATTGTCATATATATATTTGTCTAATAAAATCTCTTAGGGTTGATGACAAAGATCAGCTGATTATAGGTCAGTCTATTTTTTGATATTGTATTAAACATATCAACCACGCTACAGGCTGAACCTCTACTTATCATAAAGTATTCCTGCAAAAACGTGTGTCTTAAGTTACATTTTTTTCCTTGAAACAAGTTCTACTATTGTTCCCTCTAGCATACAAAGTAAATACAAATTTCAGCATTTCTTGCCTGTATTAAGAGTTCAATATGGTAGGTGGTATTCATACAGGTAATGTTCGTTTTTCTGCTTTAGCAATTCAGATGTCTGCCTTTTACTGACTTGAATGAGGAACAATCCTTTACAACTGCACAAAACACAAATTGTACTGCTCGTTTCTGTCAGTCACTGCAAATACAATTCTAGAATTTCACCAAAAATCTTTCAAGTATGTTAGATATCTATAGATATAGATTAGTTTAAGATATTAGGTATTTAGTGTAAGAACCCTCTATTAATAAAGAGCAGTGGTCTCCAACCTGCAACGGCTGCATGAATGATTGCAATCAATGGAGGAAAAAAAAAATCATCATACCGGTGAACTCCACTGTTGCACATAATGATGTGACAAGCTCCAAGCCTGCTACAGAGTTCAGATGACACGGAAAGCAATCCCACTCCAGAAGCACTGCACGCAGTGTATGCGCAGGCGGCGGTGCGCTTGGATCGGATAAAGGACCCTATGAGTCGGTAAAGTTCATCCAAGCAATTGAGAGGCCTCATCAGCTGCAAGAAAGGAAGTGAGAGTTATTTAAATATTTGCTACTGAGAACACATGAAATACTCTAAAAGAATAGGTCATCACAGGAGGAATACCCGATCTAGCTGAGAAAGCCAAAGCCAAATTCCATGACATAAATACAAAACACAGTTTTCTGTTACATGACCTAAGACAACTTTTAAACACTTTTCAATTCTTACCATCACTGATTGTTTCATTCCCAGGCCTGCCTATGGAAGTGTTCTTCACTTCAATAGACTGAATAGACCCATGAGGGCTATATCCACTAATGGACTGGGCAAAGAAGGGAAGCCATGAAGAGGCAACCCACAACCACACACAGATACAGAAGGAATACTAAGACTGGTTAATAGACCTGCTGAGAAAATCAGCTTATAATTATGACAACACTGTCCTTTATTTATCAAATATCTAGTTCCTAATCCTGACTAGCAACATCAAAAAATAAAAACGAACACAAGTCAAAAACATATCACAAAGTAAGAACAGCTAACTTTGTAGCAGGACTTAAAATGATCCCAGGATTACTGTACTAAAAATGAATGATCCACCTAATAAGGAAGACAACTTCAAGTGCAAGGCTGCTGTCAGAAGAGGATCCTTCAAGAGTGGTCTAGCAATGAAAACAGTATTTCGTGGTGCTTTGTGTACCAGAGATGTTCACAATACCATTCTGCAGACCTCATAATTCCAAATTCTGACTTATCTTTATTCCAGAAACACCTAAAGATCCCAACAAACCCCTGTGCTACTCAAAGAATTAATCTTTTGAAAGACAGATTCATTCCCTAAGGACAGTTTTAACAGTTAGGGAAATGGCAGCCTCACTTGCTCCTATGTGATAGTTATTTCATTGAAAAGCATAGAGGTCAAGTAAATCAACTATAACAAATAGCATATTTAAACCTGAGTACAAATAGATTTAACTTGGTTTAGGTCCTACTGGTTTAACTTGCACCCATTTAAATTGATTTTAGATGGTGTCATTTACTAATGCAAAGCTATGGGCAATAAAGTGAAAAGTGCAGCCAAAAATGGATCATGCACTCACTCTTGGCTTGCTCCAGTTGCAAAATAAATGCATTAGCCTAACATAGTATCCCTTGGTCAGATCTGGATTATGAGATACTTTTCTCTTGCCCTTGAACTTTTCACTGAAATAGACAGGGAACAGGTTTAGGGGTAACAAGCATTTCACATACAGCTGAACATCCCCTGCTGCACCGCTGACTGCATGGGTAAGTTAAGTTGCTCACTCCCCCGGGAAGGAGAAGCCAATGTCCTTCCCTCCTGTGCAGTCCTGCGTGGATCCAAGAAACAGGAGCTATCAGTCTGTTAACAGCAATGCTGGTGATACTGGCATAACATTTTAGTCTGTCATGCGGCTCAGCTGATGATCACTATTATTTCTCAAGCCACAGTAGCTCAATCACTTTTGAAGTCAGCATAGGCAAGACCCTAGGAATTTCTTTACTTCCCCTATTGGGTTGCAGTACAGGCATTAACTCTCCAACAGCAGGAGAGAGCACTAAACGAATTTTCATAGCCCCTGGGATCTCTGAGCCACAGAGGTTTAAAGACAGATGAAAGCATTTGAAGAAAGCCTAAATGAGAAAATTCAGAAGAAAGCCTTCTGAGCAGGCTGCTGAAAGAGTATTTAATTTGGAAAAGCGCTTCCAGCATTCAGAACAAAGAATTTCTGTCTGCACCTGTCCTCCCCCACCCCACCGCACATGCTCTTAGAGCAGTTGCATTGCTCTGAAAGCACAGTGAAAAAGGAAAGTTATGATTTCTCTTCTCAAACACATAGATGCCCTCCTGCCACGCCTTTTGATACAGAACCAGAGGGTACCACCTACCTCTAAAACACAGGTGGAACAAAATGCTGTAAGAGAGCTCCTCCCTTCCCTGCCCCTCTCCCCACAGCTTTAAATAATTCAATTTTTTGATGGAATTAAGAAAGCCTTGAAAAGACAGTGTGTAACATAGAAAGTTTAATTAGGCACTTAATATTTTTATTTACCTTATCTATATATGCTGCTTTAGATGTTGAATTTGGAGGCAAGTTTGACTTGTCCAGGTAGAATGCCCTGAAAGAACAAACAGAATAAGGCAAAAACTGTTAACTGTTAAAGCTCCTGAACAAAATGTACGTAAGTGATTGTTGTTAGACACCATCCTAAGGCTGGAATTTTTTTTACCTTATGCTAAGGGAGGGTCAAGGAGTAACACAATACTAAACAGGCATTATCACTCTTTCTTTTAAAGTAATAAGGTACATTTTTTGTTCTGAAGACAAAAACTGTCCCTCTCCTCTTTGATAGTACAGTGCAAAATTGTAATGTCCAGCTATCAGAGAAAAATGGATCTGAAAGTGATTTTCACCAAAGCAATCCATAAAAAGGTTTGTGGCAACTGTATAGATTTTAATATATACTTGGCATATAAACAGTGCCTGAGCCTCACACACTACAAGCTTTTTTATATATACAACTGCAATAACATAGAAGCAGAATCCCAAACATGAAACACAGTGCTGACAGAGGAAACGTATATATGTTCACAATATAAAAAGAAACAAAAAAGTAATAACCCTTCAAGGAAAAAAAATATGCGACATACAAGCAAAATGGCATTTGCAATGTGTGCATTCGTGCATGCATGTGCAAATAAAAAACAAACTGCCTTTCTTTACAATTTCCACACACTTCTTTGAAAATTAATTAATGCATTAAAGGAAAAGCCAAAGAAAATTCTAATTTAGCTGCAGAACACAACAGTGATGGACAACGCGTACTTACTTTAATCAGGTTTATCCACTGTGTATCAACTCATATTATCCCAGTTCCTTCTAATACCTTTCCCTTATCAATGAATAGTCCCAGAAGAACTTTATATAGAATGCACAAATGCATCATGTGCTGTTTTCAAATACAAAGTTGACTAATTTCTGTGTGACACAAAGGAGGCTGACATTTTGTACAGAGGGTTTCCACACTATCCTCTCCTAAAACAAAGAACCTTTCCTCTTACTCAACACCAAAAAGGAAGAGCTTTAGCAAAGAGCACACAGGAAGCAGAGAGCTCTTCTCCTGTCTCCTTCCACTCAGGAGACCTAAACGAATTTTTGTTTTAACTTTCCAGTTTATAAGCAACTTAATTGCTCATCACAGAGGAGCTATCATTAAACATCTCATAGGTAGTGGAAATATCCTACTTACCTCTAAGATTACAGGGTTTTTTGCCTCTGCAGCAACACTTAAAAAAACATTGTCCCTGCCCATAGCAGTAGAGTTGGACCAGATGAACTTTAAAGGTCCCTTCCAACTCAAACCATTCTGTGATTCTCTGATCACAAAACTCATTCTGCTAGTTGTAAAGCTCCTAAAACCTCCTGTGGCAGCTGAAAATAGAAATATTTGGTAGGCCTCCCTGCCTGTACAACCAGTGAGAACCAGGCAACAGCTACCACTGCTGCAATTCTGGGCAAGGTTTAAATAAAACAAAACAAGACAAGCTCCACTGAACTATGGAAGACACAGGAAAAAAAGAAAGATATTCTCCAGCGACAACCTCAAGGTATCACTATGATGTAGCTCCACTGCCTGTCCACAAGGAGTAGACCTGAATAAATCACAGAATCACAGAATATGCTGAGTTGGAAGGAACTCACAAGGGTCATTGAGTCCAACTCTTAGACCTGCACAGGACCATCCCCAAGAGTCACACCATGTGCCCAAGGGTATTTTCCAAACACTTCTTAAACTTTGTCAGGTTTGGCGTTGTGATCACTTCCCTCGGGAGCCTGTTCCAGCACCTAACCACCCTCTGGATAACCTAAACCTCCCCTGACAAAACTTCAGACCATTCCCTTGGGTCCTGTCACTGGTCACCACAGAGAAGAGATCAGTGCCTGCCCCTCCTCTTCCCCTCACAAGGAAGCTGGAGATTGCCATGAGGTCTTCCCTCAGTCTCCTCTTCTCCAGGATAAGCAGAGCAAGTGATCTCAGCTGCTTCCCATACAGCTTCCCCTCAAACTCCTTCACCATCTTTGTTGTTCTTTGGGCAGGGGTGCAGACTGCAGATTTGAATATCTTTTATTCTTCAATAATCTGGAATAATTGGGTGGATAAAAAAATCCATCCACTTTTAATTCTAGTAGAGTTTTCTTCCTATCACCTGTAGTTTTGAAAAACATCTTCTCCCAAATTTAAGGTTTGAATTAATCCCTTCAGAAAGCACAGCAAAGCTTTGTTATTCCATTAAGCCTGTTGCATGATCCAGAATGTACTCTGTCAAAGAAAGCTGGAAACCATTGAAAGGAAAAGAGGTTTGTAGAGAAAATGACTCATAAATCACTTTGAGGGGCCACAGCACATAAAAGCTACCTCAGCAGCAACAGACCAACCATTTTCCTTGTTAGCAAAGCTAAAAAACAAAGCATCACCCTTCTCTCTACTGACCATTATCAGACTGAAAGCCTATACTGCTCTTTCCTGCCAAGCGATAGGAAAACCTGCTTCATCTGGAGTCTGTTCAGCACTCTCATTCTCTTTGGACTGTTATTTCAGCAAACTCAGCTGCATTAAATGAAACCAGAAACCAAAAATAGAACAGTATACACATTAATGGAGTACATAGAAAATAATTAACTCAGGATACAAAATGAAGCAACATGGACACTAGAATGGGATATACAATTATAGGAATTACTCCATTAATTCAGTCAATTATTCATTAACCTAAACAACAAAAAAAATCAACTATACACAACATGCATTTAAAAACATCAAAGTATCCTGTTACAAGTGAAACTGTTCCCCCCTCCCCAATCAGATAACACTCCCAGATGTTCCCTAAGTGCTTTATTTCTATTGCTTTTCATAAAAACTGTCTTCAGTATTTTACAGAACATGACAAACTGTGGACAGCATATAAATTTCCAAAGCACTTCACTTAATTACTAAATGCTTATAAAGGTCCTTAATCATATTTTATAGGAAAAGTTAATGGCAATCTTGGCATGGTGCCCAATTTAGACAATATTTTCTAATCCATTTGAAATGAACCAGAATGAAATCATACTTCGTCTCCAAATGCGACGCTAGTTTTTCTTTTAAAGACTTACAATTTCTCTAAAATGTAACAGAAAAGCCTTTCTTAAAAAAAAAAAAAAAGGTAGATAATCCAGTACTAAATCTACAAGGGAGTATTGATTGCTACATTTGAGTTTTGTAGGATATCCCCTAAGTAACAATGCCAAATAATGGGACAAGTATCTCAGGGAAAACTAACACTGAGATAAAGTAACAAACATCTTAGGGTTCAAGAAGAAAAATCTATCACAAGGTGAATGCCTTCCCGAGATGTTTTCCCAGAACTTAAGGATAAAGGAGATGCAGCAGTACTGACATTTTCTTAGTGAAGCATTTTACAGGGTACCCTCCAAAACTGACAGAGACATATAAAATGCTGAAAATTTAAAATATTGCAAATGGAACCCTAAGAAGGCTCCAGACCAGCAGAGAGACGCATTCCTGAGTAACTTTGTACATGCAAATAATTCAAGCAAATACATGTCTTATTCTCAATTTCTTGTTTCAGTAAGCACAGAGGGTTATGCTAGGTATTGGTAATCTTGTCTTGAAAATACAAAGATAGTAAAGAAGTGATAAGGGGGGGGGAGTAAATGGGTTATGGCATTTAAAAAAGGCCAGTTGGGGGTTCTGCTCTAGAAAGCTTTTACTTTGATTTTATGGAGGAGGAGAATTCAGCCTTTTATATTTTCTGCATCATTGTGGCATACATATAAATTAACTCAAAATGTCTGCAACAGAAGGATGGAAATATGCCTTAATTCTACTAGATTTTCAGTCTCTCAGTCACAAGATATTCAAGATCATGTACAAAACCGTAGTCAAGAACCTGAGAAAGGAACAGAGGTGTGGAGTTGGGAAGTATTGGAGTTAGTGTCCCTAATTCTTTTCTTCAGCTCAGTCTAAAAAGCATGTACTTATGACACAGACAAACAGTATCTCTATGTATTGGCATCTATGTGCACACATACTTTTGCATTTCTTTAATAACAATTTTCTTACAAGACTGCAGCATCTCACTAAACTACTGGTCTCACAAATTTAACCTCTCTCCTGTCTATGAATAAGGCAGGTTGAGAAATTGGCATTAGGATGAGTACAAGTATCTGAGGTGCAAACTGAGAAGGATGCTTGCAAAGGAACAGATCTCCTATCCAAGCAGGCACTTCACAGCCCTGCTCTCAAACCTTTATAAACACAGGGGATCTCAGAAATGAGAGCATAGAAATGTGAAGACAGAAAGTTATGGATGACAAAAACAAATCCAAATCCAATTTGCTCTATTTAACACTACCCACTTTTCACATACCTATTTCACATTCCTATTTTCCAGGAAATCTAGTCTCCAGCATCTCTACCTACATCCAAAAGCATGTGAAACCATCCTTTTCATGATGTGAAAGGGAAGTTCTTGAGCCGCAGACCAATTACAGCTGCCTTCTTGCTTATCCCATCATTATCCAAACAGCCAAATCCACACTGAACACAATAATGCTAACTAATTGCTTCCACATTTGCCTTTCAGACAGTGGATGTCTTCTTTTTAGCTCCTGATATTCCAGACATGGAATACACTGTTAAAAAAGACAATGTGGCAAATAGTCATTGGGTTCTCAGGATTTCAACTACAGCTACAAGCTGTACAAGCTGCAGGCTTGGGCTGGACTCCCATCAGTGACCAGAGTGAAAGAAAAGGCTCCACCTTTGATGACTGCATATAAATGTTCTCTGCATTTGAGGAGGATAAAGAAAGCAGGATGAACTAGATGATGAACTAGTGAGTAAAGACTTAGTACATATTATCTATCAAGACACATAATTTCCAATTTCAGAACATCATCTATAATAAATGCTGATCATACTGTATTAATAGTCTAACAAAACAATGAATTTACATTCACAGAATAAGCACAGCACTGAAAGGGGAAAAAAACTTCCTGAAGCTAAATTCAAGCCAGTTGGCAGTATCTTTCAGACCAGCTAGATAAATTTAA